ACAACTTTTAAAAACTGAATTTATGGAAGGGTTTTAAATTTTATTTGATAATCTTTTAACATTCAGAAGTTATGATGGGAAGTTTACAATCCCTATACATTGGGAAGAAGGTTTTGCATGTTTATAACTTATTAACTTTTTGTATTATTAAATAAAACTTCAAATTAATGAAAATAAATGAGTTTAAATTCACTATAATATGCCAAAAAACATTCATTAACTCATTGTTTTCATATTTGGGGTTAGAGGAACTTTTTGGGTAATGTTTAATCCCCAGACTCCAATCAATGCAGTTTGTTGCAAAACATTTTCATTTAACTTAAGTTTTAACATGCGTAAGTTTGGAGTTTGCAAAATGCCTGAAAGCATTATGTCTAAAGTATCAAAAAAAAATCAGCCTACACCACTGCTTATTAACACACATCAAAAAATTAGGTTTAAAGTTTCAGGTCAGAGTTCCCCAAATATTTTTATGGAATTTTTATCAGTGACTCTTCATGATACTGTATCTAGAAGCCTAAAAATCAAAAGGTAGCTGTTTTTGAAAAAATGATTTCAAACTTTTGTAAATTATTTTATAAAAGGGAAGGGGTTGAGAGTTGTAAACTTAAGGTTTTCTTTATAAAAAATCAATATTACCACTTTTTAATTATGTTAAGGTTAATCCAGTATTGCAGGCAATTAAATTTTGATCATTTTATGACGTTAATTTTTCTATAGAATTGTTGATGGAAGCGTAATTCATATAGTATATAATATAGTAATTTATTTATTTAATATAATAATAGAATGTTTCAAACCCTAATTATTGAATGTTTCAAATAGAATGTTTCAAACCCTATTTTTTTAGGTGCAGTCAGGAGTTAGCATGAAAATTTAAAAGATTATAATCACTAAATAATCAACTCCACAGTTTTTTATAAGATAATCACAATAAAACGTATTTGCTTATCATTTGATCCTTTTTTTTTTTGAAAAACGTCACTTGTTTGAATATCTCCATTATTGGATTGGGCTGATTGCAGTTGTTTTTCGATCTCTTTTTAAATTTCTTTACGAATAGCTGGAGTTACTACAATATTAAAGGCTGTTTGCAGACAGTGTGACTTTTGAGGTGACTTTGGAGCTGATGCTATGTATCATATGCTGATGCTAGATGTTGTTGGTGTAGATTCAGAAGGCAGTGGATGAGGTAGTGCAGTTCCTGGTGCTAGCATTGGTGATGGTACTATTATAAATTCTAGTTGTTGAGATGATGAAGGCTCAGGTTCAGATGACGGTATTTCAAACGTATTTGCAATTTGCAACTTTGACTAACCGATTTTATTGCTGTCGAGTGGAAACAAGCCAGTATTCTGAAATTCGGTGAATATTTGGGTATCCGTAAAAACTTCACCAGAGCTGAAGAGTTTTTTTTCCAGGTGACTAAAACATTCTTTTGATAAGTTGCTGAACTTTGTCTTTGCATAAAACTGTTGAAGTAACTTACGCCAAACTCTTTTGAAATGGCAATAAAAACCAACATCTAGTGGCTGCAGAATGTGAGACGAGTGAGCGAGACGATTGCCAGCAGCATTAATACAATTTCCTGCAGTATAATGGATATTTTTGTTGTTGCTAACCAATTTCAATGACCGATTTGCACCACGCAAAATATGTGTTGCTTACCTTTATTACCAGAGAATCCAATTTCATCAAAATTCCACAATTGGCATGGAGCGTTTTCGTTGATACCTGCTATGTTGAATTCTCTTTGAAGTGTGTTGAAATACTTTGCTTCTGTTTCTTGCATGCAAGAAGCGGCTCTGAGTGATGAAATATTGCCTATGGCTCTGATGCTCAACCTATGACTCCACCGTTTTATGAAAAGCCTATAACTAACACCTCCTGTTGTACTATTTGGAAACAAATGAGATTGACCTTGGTGTTGCAAATATTCGGTAACTAGTGCGATGACGTTATTGTAAGTTCTACCAATACCCCATTCGGATAACTGACTCAAGTTATTGTGACAATCTTGTGCTTAAACCACTGCCATTTGTTTTACCTATACAGTGGACACGCCTGAGAAGAGTTGCTATTGGTATGCTGAATGATTTGTTAAGTGAAAACTCACAGCTTTGTACTTTGGCCACCGCAAGCGCAACTTGCTCTTCGGTGTATACTTTTTTTCTTTGCATGCAAGTTGTTTCGAGGCATGTTTTATATTAAAATAGATTTAATAATAATCGGTTTGAAATTTATGCGCTAAATTTATAGAGATATTATAAAAACTTAAATTTTGTTATGGTTATGAGTCTTGTTTGCACTATAATTGTTTTATTTTTATTTTATTAAAATGGTTTGATATTAGTTAGATTTTCTTTGATTACTTAAATTATTTTGTGCTAGAATTTCTGTAAACTGATTGCCTGCTTCAGTTTATTCCAATAACAAAGAATACTGAAATAGGCTTTCGGACAGCTATATCAACACATATTAACATACTACTAAAAATAATCTCACATATTGCTAAAACTACCCACAACTCTCCATTGGAAATAATTTTAAAGGTTTGTAAATTTGTATTTATTATAATTGCAATTATTAAGTAGAAAACATAAACTTTTCTTTAAATTATTTACACTGCAAAACAAAGTTTTGCATTGTAAATACTTTATTATGCTGCATGTCTCAAACATACAGCAATTAAAATGTAACAAATCAGACTATTTATTTACAGAAGCCAAGAAATATCAGGCATACCAACTGTTTTGGAGTCAATAGCTGTTAATAAAATTCTAATTTTTTTCATTGCCAAATAAATGGTTATCATTCTTCTTTATTTAAATGGTTTCGCAGTGGTAAAAAATACAACTTGAAAAACTAAAATATATTAGAAAAATCATTGACAAAAATTTAGTATTAAGAGATTACTTGCTTCTTGTGGGTAAGGTGTATTTACAAAAAGCAGCTTAAAGTGGTAAACATTTTGATGAAGATTGAGAAAACAATCTTTATAAAGAATTTGTTTTTGTTATTATGATTGTAGGGCTTCAAAAATTTATTCTTATGTTTTGAAATCATAACCTAAAGTTTACATAACAGGTTTGTGTTTGAAAAAAGAAATTGATGAGTGTATTACCTCAATGCACCAATCTGAATTTAAGATAAGAACTATTGTTAGCGATAACCATTTTACAAATGTTAATGCATTTTTATAGTTTCATAAAGCATATACTGGAGATGGAAAATTATTAATTTATCATTTAGTTTAGAAAAAGAGTGTTTAAAATATACTTGTTATTTGATAAACTTAGTTTTTGTTTTTCTCTTCTTGTTAAAGTTACTACTGATAACATTGCAGGGAATATATTTCTTAAAGTTTATTAAAAGATCACTTATTAAACAAGCAAGAAAAATTAACTATCAAATCATATATTTTGGTAACAACAAACAAGTTGTCAACATCGACAATATTTGACAAAACAACTGCAGCTACAACTGCTAATTTAGAGTTATTTTTCTCAAAGAAATAATGCAGCACAATCATCATTGTTTTATAAGTTATTTATCATCATCATTGTTTTATAAGTTATTTATCATACTTAATTCAAAGCAGAAACTTAATTCATCTTATCAAACTCAGCAATGCTGGTTTGAAAGGTAATAACAAACCCACACTTTTTAGAGAAATTGCAAATTGTACTGAAATTTAATCAAAATAAAATTTGATAAATACCTGACATTAACCAAACAAACTTCTTGTGCTCTAATTACAACACTACAGGCAATTGTATTTCTTATGCATGATATCCTTGAAGAAGGCTTTACATTTGTTTATAGTTAATTTACAAAAAGGTTTAGAGCTAGGTTTTATTATGTATAGTTAAACGTCCAATAGTAGACTTTTTCTGAGCCTTTTAGATATTTACCAGAATTTTGATAATCCTTAAAAAATATTATGCAAGATATTGCTTAGTTGTCTACATAAACACTACTGTCAGCTTTCTGAAGATAGCACAAATATATATACTTAAGCAAGTAATAATAGTAAAAATTAACAAAAAGATTTTGATGTTAAACTTATGAATAAACATATACAATAAACATTACTTTATAAAGAGAAGAACCTATATATTCAATTCAAGCTCTTTCTAATTTTATTTATCATTTTTTTAGTATTTTATGTTATTTGTCTTATTCTAATAAAACATTGTAGTCATTCTTTTTTAATTAAAAATTTGCGAAACAAATTTTAAAGATTTGATCTAGCAATTTCAATTTTACACATAAAAACCACCAAAAATGGGAATCAAATATAGATCTCGTTTTGTATTGCAATTTATTATAAAAAATATTATTATATTTTTTATAGTAATTTGCAAAAAAAAATTACATATTTATTTAAAAAAGATCAAGTAAAAGAATTCCAAAAAAGACAAAATAAACATTTCTAGCAAAAATGTATTTCTTCTTTTTATTTCAATTATAAAAAATACAAAACTACAAACCTTTTTTTTGCTCAATGGAGAGTTTTAGGCAATCTAAGCAACATGAAAGATTATTTTTAGTATGATGTTGGTATGGGTTGATATAGTTATCTGGAAGCCTATTTTAGTATTCTGTGTTGTTGGAATAAACTGAAGCAGGCAATCAGTTAACAGAAAATCTAGCAACAAATTAATGTAAGTACTCAAAGAAAATCTAACTATTATTAAACCATTTTAATAAAATAAAAATAAAACAATTATGGTGCAAACAAGACTCTTAACCATAACAAAAATTAAGTTTTTATACTTGAGCCGTAAAAAAACTGGCCTCTTAATTTTTTACGGAAAATGCAACAAATCAGGCCGTGTAATTTAAGTAGGCCATGCATTGGTTAACAAAATAAACTAAAGATCAAATATATTTGAAAAAATATATATCATCATTACTGAGAAATACATGAAAATTATTATTGTTGCTAATCATCTGTTTCTGTAAACTTACGAACAACTTTTCTCTTTGGCGCCTGTTTAAGGTGGTTTAAATGGAATTGTCGATTCTTTTTCGTTACAAATAATGACGTTGAGAGCGTTTGCTAAAAAATAAAAACAACATTATTTCAACTGTTTAAATATTTAATTATATATAATTATTTAATAAAATATACCTTTATTTAATTTATAAAGGCAGGTATCACCAAAGGGCTGCTTCCGTGCTTGCCCTTCATATTAAAATTGCTCATTAACTAATTCGTCATCAACTATTATTGAAAAAAAATTATACTATGAAAACAATATACGTAGTTTTTATATATATATATATATATATATATATATATATATATATATATATATATATATATATATATATGGGATATGTACATCCATTACATACGGCGTATGTATACCCCATACATTTTTTATGCTACAAAATAAAACAGGGATGTACATAAAAACGTCAGCAAGTTCTCCTGAAAGTTAAAAACCCTTTAATAAAAGGTAGCCCAATTCCAAACATTTTCTTTGGTTAATTTGCTTAATACTTGAATGAATTATTTCTAGTAAAGGTAGAGGAGGCATACACTATTTTACTAAGATACTGTATAAACCGAAATACTGTACCGAAATACTGTATCGAAATATAATCATTTAAATAATTAAGGGTTTTGACATAAAAAAAAAAAGTCATATACCTAATTTAAAACGTTTGCAATATTTTCTTTTACACTCACACCACGAACTTTGGCAATTCTTCTAACATGATATATATATATATATATATATATATATGTTCCAATCTTGGAATATCTGTAGGCAATGAAGCAGCAAAGTCTGCATCTTGAAAGACATCACGATTGATTGGCCATATACCAGTTTTTCTAAACCCATTGACTGCAGTCAGAGCACTGGCTGCACGAAGATAAGCCTCTCGGAAGAGCGCAGGTAATTGCAGAGTAGTCACTATTCTACCTGGGTGAACAAGTAACCACTTCTCAACTTCTTGAGTGTAATACGTACTGAGTGGTTTCATCAAGCTTACGTCTAATGGTTGTAGCCGATGGCTGCAATGAGGTGGTAAACATAGGAGAGAAACACACTTTTCACGAGCAAGATTGATAACATCAAGATTTAAGGTGTGGGTTTTATGTCCATCAAGGATCAACAGTACTGGTGAATCGGCACACGAATGACTGTGATATACAAAATGTTCAAACCATTTCAGAAACAAATCAGTTTGCATCCAACCAGACGGATGGGCTACACCGATGGATCCTGGTGGTGCAGCATCAAGTAACTCAGGCTTCATTCGGCATCTCGGAAACACAAACATAGGAGGGATGAAATTACCTGATGCACTCATGCATATTTCCACTGTCACTAACTGACCACGTTCTGCCGAACTCAAGCTGCCAACTTGCTTCTTGCCCCGAGCTGCTATCACCTTGGAAGGTCTGTTCGGCACAGTTGTGAAACCAGTCTCGTCACAGTTGTATACCCTGTCTGGACTATAGTGGTGCTTTGTCTGTAACTCAGTGAGCAAATCAAAAAACTGGTCAACAACAACTTTGTTGAAGCCTTGTGCCCGTGCCGAAGAAGTTGGCTCTGGCATTCTTAAAGACAGGTCTGGATGTCGTGAAATAAATCCTCTATACCAGTCCAGACCTGCTTCTTCTTTGACAGAACTGAATCTTTCATGGATATTGTTACTTTTCGCTAGTTGATATGCGAGTTTTCGTAAGCGCTTAGGTGTGAAACCAAAAAGCATACTTTCCATGGTTTTTATATGCTGAACAAGTTCCAGTTCAGTTTCCCTATCGAATACATTGCACCTTGAGCCGAGTCTTTTTGCAGCTGCTGCTCCACTTGCTAGACTTGACTTGTACCTCCGCTGAAGTGTTGAACGGGGTACGCTGAAAAGTTTACAGGCTTTCTTTAATCCCATTGTTTTTGTACGTAATGCTTCAATTGCTTTGACCATACCTGTCTCTGACCACGTTTGTCTTTCAGTTGTTCTTTTATACCGTCCCATTTTATTGAAGAAGCTGAAACAAAGCACAATACAATTACATAATGTGCTATTAATCTGTAATAATAGTAGATTATACATTAATTTGAAACATTCAAAGACATACACCCTTGATTAATAGTACCATTAATTTACTTTAAAACAACAAGAAAATCAAAAGAAATTATTTTAATAACACACCAAATTTATTTAAATAAGCACACTTTTAAACGACTTTTTTATGTTGATATATCCCATAATGCAGTTTAAACTTAGTTATATTTTACATAACAGATTCAGACAAATTTATAATTTGAAGACCTCTCATTAAACAATATTACATATGAAGTTCATAGTATGAACTAGATAGGTTTGTAGTTGTTCAAAACGGTAACTAAGGCGTTGCTAAGGAACTATTTGATAATATACCTAGGTAAAAAGTTAAATATCACAAAATATACAAAACAAAATGTAGAATTTTTTTCAAAAAACTAAAAAATAATAATATTTTCTATCAGAAAAGATGAAAATAATTTTTCTTAAAAAAAATAATTTATTCACATTTATTTTGTGATGAACCACCTTAAGAAGTCAATGCCTGCATCAGCTGTCTAAAACGGGCCCTTTGGTCTAAAATGGGCCCATAGCGGGCCCGTTTTAGACACTGATAAGGCCATTACAAAATCCTCATGTTGTAACGTTCCGATAAAAAACACATGAAATCGCTCATTTCCTGAGTAATCGTAACAAAAAAACAAAAGCAATAGTGCCCTACCTTGTAACTCGATATGACGATATGACTTGTAGGTCTGTGATTTCGTAACGTCAAATAAAACAAGAGAAATTGATATAATTGATTCGACACGTTTTTACAAGACCCTGTCAATTATTAACGCAATGTAAACAATCATGCATATTCATTAAACTAAGCTGGTTCTATTTGCATTCAGAGTCACCGAAAAAATCCGCTTGGTGTCGTGCCAATCGTGGGGCCCGTTTTAACCGAGGGGCCCGTTATAGACCAATCTCCCCTAATTGATAACAAAAATAAAAATTAGCTAGAACGTGTCTATTTGTCGTTGTAAAAAGACTTCTTTTGCAGTTGAAAAAAAATGCGTCACTTAAAAATTTTAGGAAGTTTTAGCGCTTGCGTTATTTAACTTATTTTTTTTTGATTTAATAAAGCATTCTGGATATTTTTTGGACGAAAAAATTATTAGACGCGAAAAAGACGTTCAAAAGACGTTTAAATTTTTAATGGGACGGACGGACGCGATTTGAACGTCTTATAGACGTCTTTTTTACGTCCCGTGCCCACTGGGTAGGTTTTCTGAAAAATTCTCTTGGAATGTAACGACTTGGAATGTATCTGAAACAATAGATCTGATAAAGTATTGACAGTATTACAAATGTTTTTTTATATAATATACTTATGGAGTATTATTCTATTTTACTATCAACTATCAAGCTGATAAAATTGATCGTCTTTATTCTGAAGCTGATGAGTTTAAAGCTGAAGCTGAAATATCAGCTGCAATCCCTCTTTATAGACAACATTTTTGTTTTGATTTATATACTTTATCATAATACATGTGTTTTTTTTATACTTAAAACTTATTTTTTTATTTTATAATACTGTATTATAAAATAAAAAAATAAGTATTATGTATAAGAAAAACTACATGAATTATGAGTAAGTAAAAAAAACATGTATCACATGTTTTGTTTTTTTGATATTTGTTTTTTTGCCTAATTTTTTTTAGATTAAAAAAAATTTCTTACATAAATCTAATAGTGGTAATCAAGGGTGTGGAGTCAGAAAATATTACGCGATAATTTAAACTTTTTTTTTTTGCTAACTATATGAAAAATAGTTTAAAGGTTAAATATTTTGTACATGCACGTGCAATGCTGAGAAGTTTTACTATTGGAATCGCAGTCCTGATTTTGCTTTTAGAGTCGCTAAAACCTCCTCCTCTAAGTCCTGGTTTTAGCGACTCTAAAGGTAATATTTACTCTTATGATTATATTTCTCTCCAAAGTTCATGTAAAATTTCATACATAGTCTTTCACTTGGGTTTGCAAAAACCCGGAAAATTTCTATTCCCGGGATTCGGGTTTTTTATAATTAATTTCCGAAATTTTCACGGGAAACCCCGGCATTACTTTATGCTTTGAAACTAAAAGAAAAGTGCTTTAATTTTAAAGCATAAAATACTTAACGAAAAATGTTTAATTAGGCATTTTACAGTAAAATAAATAAAACTTGAACATAAAGTTAATTATGTTGTCTTTAAAAAATATGCATGCAAAAAGTTCAAACTATCTAAACTATTATCACATACACAACTTCTTGTTTTATTCGAAAATAGTCCTGCGGAGGAAAATGCTATTTCTGACTCTATGCTCATTGGTTTATTCGTCACTAAAAAACTATAAACTTTTTGAAGACCATCAACCCGAGTACAACCATTTTCACCACTAGTACATCCATTTTCATCCCGAATACAACCAATTTTAAACAATGACATTTCTTTTGATAAATTAGAAGTAAGATTTTTGCCAATCATAACAAAGAATTTCTTGAAAAACTTTTTCGAGAGCTTTATTTAGTTGCTCACTAATAGTTTTCCGCATTATCTGCGCTTTTCGGTATTTCATCATCTTCTTGACTTATTAAATCCTCAACGTTATCTAAGGAATTTCTAGCTTAAATTTGTTACATTTGATTTATTTAAAAGCTTCAACATTATTTTCTTATTGAAGAAGTTTCAAAAACTTCCCCTATGGCATTCATTTGTTTTCCCGTAATGTAGATAGGTCAGTAGACTACTTAATTCAAACCTTTGCTCTTTGATTCTGGAAGTTAAAACATTAAAAAGTTGACAACTTGTTGCAGTATTCAGTTTTTTTAATTTAGTTATTAAAAACTTTAACGCAGTGTCAGCAGTTATAAGGTTTGCATAGCGTCGACAAAGCTTTTTTTACTGAAATTAGCACGTTTACTAGTTCACATACAATTTTATACTCATTATCATTTTTATACATAACATTTTTATAAAACCATTAATACTGATATCAAAAATCCCTTTTTTTTTGCAATTTTTCAATTTATGAAAACCTTCAAGTTTTGATAGTAAGCTGTTCCATCTTTTTTCGAAAAGGTTTTTTCGAAAGCCATTTTTAACATATTTTTGTAGACATTCATTATTTTTATTTGGTGATCTTTTAAAACAACATTTGGTGATCTTTTTTCAACGTCCACTCATCAAAAGAAGTTGAGGACCTAGTCCCACTGTTAATTTTTTGTCGTTAAAATTAATTTCTTATAACATTCTTTATTTTTTTAGTGAAATCTAGTACCATTTCTTTAAACATTGTTTGGAGATTTAGGTATGTTGAATCGACTCAATATAAATAACACAATATAAATAATTACAAATAAACTTTTAATTTTATTCTCATTATTGTTATTCTTATTATTTATATTATTATTATAATTTAGTTTTAATAATTAAAATTAGTTTCTTACTGTTTCCAAATAAACGCGCGAGTTTATTACAATATATAAAGAATATACAAAAGCCGCAATATATTAAGATTGAATTTGCTTTAAACTTATAAATCAATAATGAAAACATTGGTATTAAATTTTGTAGTTTTTATAGCATTGGTACTAAATTTTATAGCTTTGTTGTTACTTTTGTTTTATTTGACGCAATTTAAACGCAGGTATTAATCGGTAAACGCAGGTATTAATCGTAGTTTTATAATTTTTAAATCCCGGGATATTTTAAAAATAACCCCGGGAGTTCGGGGTTATAAAATTAGGCGGCATCCCGGGATTTCGGGATCCCGGAAACCGGGATTGCAAACCCTATCTCTCACTAATTCTTATAAATATAAGTTATTACCATTATTATTATAATTATATTTACATACCTGTCATTACTAATATTTATCAAAAATACGTTCTGGTTGTTGAATTCATTTTCACTCATATCAGTATGCAAATATTGTCAACAGTCAGTGTGCATTGTTGATGTTATAAGCGTACAATGTTAAATCAAAACCAAAAAAATATCAATGATTAAAAAATGCAGTTGATGCATAACAATGAAGCCATTTTGGCATTTATTTGTAAACACTTGGTGTTTATATCTGACAGTGGGAAAACTTTATTAACTTCAGTCATTTTGCTTGAATAAAATAATAAATAATTGAATAAAAAACAATGGAAAAGTGTAAAAATGATTTAAAAGCTTTAAGTTCTTTAAATATAACCTATCCTTCACAACATTCGCCTGTTTGTTCCTCTTGAATGTTTCTGACTAAACCAATTTTTTGAGCAATTTTAAACCAGTTATTACAATCACTAGCAGAAACGAAACTTTAAATTTTGATCATTTTAAAAATGCAAACAGTGTCTCAATGGAATAGTTACTATTGTTTAATAGTTACTGTAATGTTAAACATATGGTGCATTCTATAGTTATTGATGTAACGTTTGCAAATTTCATTCCTAATTTAAATACTTTCCATTTATATTAGATCCTTGTAATAAAATTCAATGTATTTACATGTATGGATAATATTGGTGTATATATAAAATTTCCAAACTGTTCGTGTTTATCTTCAAGTAGAAAAATATTTGTTCGTTACTGACATAACGCTGGGGTCTGCTATTTTTCTAATATTAACATTTGACTTTAAGTTTCTCTGAAAGTTGAAAGACAAAAATCTGAAAAATTACTTTGAATTAAAGACTTATTTATCAAGATGATTTGTTGTACATATAAGTTATAGATGTATTAATTCCATTTGCAAAAGATATTATTTTGAAGCCATAAATTCAGACCTAAGTGAGCGCTGCTCAAAATGAACTCGCTCATGAGCGGCACTCAAAACTTTTGAGCGAAGTGTGAGCGCGAGCGACGTCAAATTTAGATGAATGTGAGCGCAAGCGAACGCTTTTTTGATAGCGCTCTAAAATTACGCTTATTCTGCGCCTTCAAGCGGCCAAAAATTGAATTAGTTAACATAGAGTTAACTCCATGTTAAAATGCGCCATCAAATAGCGGTTAAATATTTAACTTTATATTTAAAACAGCACATGTATGTAACCAGCCAGAGAAACTTCTTAATTTTAATACTGCAGTTAACGTTTAGCGTTGTTTCACTTTCATTTTTTAAAGTAGTTAGTTTAAATAATTTTCTGAATTTAAAGAGCAAATATTGGGAAAGTTATAGAAACTTTTTTTTGAGCGGATTTGTGAGCAAAAGAGCGGAGCGCCCGCTCAAGAATATTTATAAGCAGATTTGCGAGCGTCCGTTCATAAAAAGCTGAACGACAAATTGAGCGCCGCGCAAAATTTTCTGCATAAATTACTGACGTTACGCTACTGACGTAACGCTCCAACTCAGAGAATCATAGTTGTTTAAAAACATGCTGATTTATTCAAGTTTTATTTTACTTTTTAATAACATTTATTATTGATAAATTTGGTATATTAAAGATATTAGATAATTCCAGTAAACCTTAGGGCGTAGCCTGTGGGCGTCAAAATAAAAAGGCGCTTAAACGTCAAAGTTTTTTTTTGTTTTAATTTGAAATAAAAATTCTAATAACAAAAAACAACTAATCGGTAGCTTTAACTTTAATTTTAAATTTGGTAAATATTATGTGACTCCTTTTAATAAGACGTCTTCAAAAAAGAGGTCGAAAAGACGTCAATCGGTTGTTAATAAGGAAATCATTATTTGTTTAAAAAAATTAAAATTAGTTACGATATCTTTGTTACGTTCTGATTAGCCCGTTTTTTGTTTACAAAATACTTTTATATAACTTTTATGTGAAACGGTCTTTGCATAGGAAATTTAATTAAAAAATAATTTTTTTCGGTAAGCGGGTTTATTTATTAATTTATTTAATAAAGTAATATATTATGTAAAATATACATAATATAAATGCATATATATATTATAATATATATATATATATATACATATATATATATATATATATATATATATATATATATATATATATATATATATATATATATATATATATATATATATATATATATATATATATCATATATATATATATATATATATATATATATATATATATATATATATATATATATATATATATATATATATATATATATATATATATATGTATATGTATATATATATATATATATATATATATATATATATATATATATATATATATATATATATATATATATATATATATATATATATATATATATATATATATATATATATACAAATATACTGAAATAAATATACAATTGCAGCTGCTTAGCTAAAAAATGTTAATCGGAAGAAGCAAAAATGGATGGCGTGTTGCCAGTAAGATGGTATCGATACGATCTAGTCTCAATTAAGTTAGTCGCAGGTAAGTGTTTAAAAAAAGTTTTACCATTTATTTTTAGACTAGTTTTTTAATTTTTGTGATTGAAGAACGTTGTTTAAATTGTTATGAGTCTACAACACTTAATTTCAGCAAAATTCAAGTAAAAATTCATGTTATAGAAGAAAGAAAAATATCAATATCTGTTTTCAATAACTTGGTTTTCATAGCAAATCTGAGAGGTGCAAATGTTTAGCTTGGTTTAAGTACTACATTATAAAATACATCGTTGCACAGTCATTTTGACGGTTGTAAATTTATTTAGAACACTCAGTTTTATATATTTTTAGATTGTTTACCGTTTGACCCCTGTCCTAATCTAACCTAGTGGGTTCAAAAAAAAGGGACCGCGCTTGAAACATGAGTGGATTAAAAGGATCAGCCTTTTTTGAATTAATTCTCGGTAAGTATAATGTCCTCCACTCAACTAATGAAGTTTTGTTTGGTTTTTTGTATTACATTTAAGCAATAGACTGTTTTTTATGTTCACTTGTTTTTTAGAAGTGGTAACCAGCTAGAAGTCGTGACCTGCTCGTAGGAAAGGATTTCTCGACGTGAAAATGTTAATTTTATTCAACCAAGAAACAGAGCTCGCTCAGGAAACAAAAAAGAAAGAGAAAGATAAAAAATATTCTGTTGAACAATACTATTGTTTTATTTATAAATTATTCTCTTATATTTAAACATATAAAAGATGTAGAAAATGCTTTCTCTTTTATATTGACATCTAAAAGAAGTTTTTTTACGGCATCGGAAAGAGCTTTTTGCCATACTTTGTATGAAGAGCTATTAGGGTAGGGTGGGGCAAGATGCCCCCCTTAACAAACTTTATCGTATATAATAAATACTTTTACATTTTCTTGTGTTTTTTCTTTTTAATATTAAGGTTTACTTATAAGAGAAGACATTGGTAAGATAAAATAACTACTTTGTTACTGTTGATAAACTTTGAAATCAAAAAAAAAAAACTTGTGCCAGAAGACATCTTGCCCCAGTGGTGGGGCAAGATGCTCTATGGATTTAAAGAAAGAAAGCTTTTCACGCGTTATTCCACAAACCATTAAAACAGTTGTTAAAAAAAACTTAAAGTTCTTAAAAATAAAAGCCCTTATTAGTTTTTTTTATTTACTCTTTACATTTTATTAAAACAACTGAAATATTAACACTGCAAATAAATACTATGCAATTATTCTATACAACTGTCTTGAAGATAAATAACTTCTTTTTTAATTATTAGCATTAAATAACTAAAATAAATGTTCTAATAACGATGTATATACATGACTATGATTCACAGTAGTAGCATAAGTCTGAATCATCTGGACCACACGAAGAGTGGTACCAAGATGTACATTTAGTACATTGTGTCCAATCATCAAATGGGGGCACATTATAAGCACAAGAGCATATGATGCATAAAGTAGTGTCAGTAATAAAACATTAAGAGGCTTTCTGCTTTTTAGACTTCTTTGGTTTTTTTGTCCTCAAATTTATTGATTTCTTTTTTTGCTTGATTACCTTATTAAGTGCAGCTTTTTCTTTACGCAATATTGCTTCTTGCTGCTTTTCTTTTACATTGTTTTCATGTTCTTCTAATCTCTTCTTGAAAGGCGAAGAAGTAAGATTTTCAGCTGATTCTGTCTTTCTTTTACGCTGTCTTAATACAGAAATTTTAAGACGCGGGGAAATCTTTTCCAAAATATTAGGGGCGGATTTAAGGCCAAGATGCTCATCAACAACTGGCAAAACTGCATCATTTGATTGTGCTGGTTCTTTTGTAACAGTCTTCATTTTTGAGGCAACAGTTGCTGTGCTTATGACATCTGGCAACTGTATAGGTGCAACAAAAGGTATACTAGGCAAATCACTTGATTGCTGACAGCTTATCAATGGTATAGCTTCATCAGTGAGCAAAGCTGCATCAAAGGCTTCATCGTTAAAAATAAGCTCATTTATTGGGTATAAACCAGAGCATCTAAATCCATTGATTGCTTTGTCAATGTTTGCAGTAAAGTTATAGGCAGTTGTAAAAATACCTGCCATGTCAAAAAATGAAATTCTACGCCCCTGATGCGATAACATCCAGTTGCTTGCTGCAGTATTGTAACCAAATTTCAATGGTTTGAAAAATGTACGGTCTAAAGGTTGCATTTTGTGTGTACAATGAGGGGGAAGAGTTATGAGGTGAATCCCATTGTTGCGACAAAAGTTAATGGCTTCAAGTGTTTTGTGACTATTATGACCATCGAGTACAATTAATTGCTCATTATTTTAGATGCATGAGTCACAGTGACAAAATGTGTTAACCATTCGACGAATAAAGATGAATCTGTCCATCCACTGGAGCTAACTCTAACAATTGACCCTGAAGGTGCACCAAAAGCCAGCCTTTCAGTCATTCGCTTATGGGGGAACATAAGTAATGGTGGGACATAAACACCACTTGTACTCATTGCACACACGACAGTGACAGTAGCACCTCTTTCTCCACTAGTTATTTTTGAAACTTGTTGTTTTCCCTTTGTTGCAATTATTTTTCCTGGCTTATGGACATTTGTTATTCCAGTTTCATCTATATTCCAGAGCTGTTTGGCTAAAAACTTATGTTCCTCAAATAATGACTTGTATACTGAAAAAAACTTTAACTTTGGTTTATTGAAGCCAACAGCTCTGCTTACACTGGTGGCTTGTGGGGTTCGAATAGAAAGTTGTGGGTTGCGAGACATGAATCCTTGCAGCCAATCCTTTCCTGCCATTTTTGATTCATTATTAAAAGGATTTTTAATTCTGATGCAACATTTTTCAGACTGCAGCCCATCTCCATAGCTTCTAACGCTGACTTTATCCTATCATTTGTTGCACCTCTCTGTGTTTTTCGCACATAAATTCTCACCATTATTTAAATTGCTTAAATATGTTTCTAAATAAAAAATTTGAAATTAAATTATATAAACATATAAACACATGCAAAGTATTATATAATTATTTAATATACTATTGTTTCAAACATTACCTTACATTCATAAATTAACTCTTTTTAAGTTAAATAAGAACTTACTTAAGTTATATGCATACAATTTTTGCACAAAGTTACCCAAGAATTATTAATAACAATGGTATAATTATTTTTTTAATTTAATATAATACAACTTTATTTTCCCAAATGCAATGCAAATTTTAAAAATGTATTTATAATACATTTATATATACATTAATAAATAATTTATAAATGTTTTACAAGTATGGATTGAATTGCAGTAACTGCATGTAATACAACTTCACACTTCACTTTATTTAGCATACATATTATAACATTTTAAAAATATATAAAATTATTTTAAAAAATTATTTATATATATGTATAATAGTTATCAACACATAAACCAACATGTAAACAAAGTCAATAACTAAATTAGTAAACGTTATTATGTTCTAAACACACTTTTAAAATGGTAGAAATTCCGTAAAACCACGAGACTAGAAGCCCTCCGTGGGCATCTTACCCCACGTCAACGAGGACATCTTGCCTCGTATGTAGTGAGTGCAAGTTTAATACAAATAAAACTAATTTTGTTGCTTAATTAAAAACTTTTTTTACTATATATTATTGTGGGACAAATTCTGTATAAAAAAAACTATTTTCTTACCTTCATCGCATAAGTATTGCCAGTCCAATAAACATTTGAAGTTAGAAGCAACTTACTAACAAAATACTCAAAAAAGTTAAAAATCTATTTAAACCTTAACTAATAACGATATTTAAACTATTTTTTGTTTTGTGATATTGTTTTAACTATATTAATATTATAATAGAGGAATAAAACATTACTATTCTATGATACCCTCACAAACGCAAAAAGACTTCTTGCCCCACGGGTCATCTTGCCCCACCCTACCCTATCATTTTCATTTGAAAAAAATAGCTTTTTATATATAAAAAGTAGGAACACTATAGTGTATAGGATACTACAGTATAGTAATAAGTATAACAAAAAAGTCGAAAAAAGATGTCGTTTAGATTTGCATATTTGACTAAAAAGAGGCGTCTTAAAGACGCATTTTTTATGTCTTTTCATGACAAGTTTAAGATAAAAAAACGTCTTTTCGATGTCGAAAAAAGATGTCTTTTAGATTTGCACATTTGACTAAAAAAAAGCGTCTTAAAGACGCATTTTTTATGTCTTTTTATGACAAGAATAAGATAAAAAAAGACGTCTCTTCGATGTCAAAAAAAGATGTCTTTTAAATTTGCATAATCGATTAAAAAAAGACGTCTTAACGACATCGTAAATAAGACTCTTAAAGACGTCTTTTCGACGTCTTTTTTCCTACTGGGATATTTTATACATAATAATTTTAATAGTAGTAGTAGTAGAGAAATTGCTGCAACAGGTTTCCCTGTATAACCTACAGGTTTTGGCAGCCTTATCTACTTCATACATTAATTTTATTCATATCAATATATATAAAAATTTACAATAAGATATATAGTATAAAGTATAAGTTTGTACTTTATTGTTTTTCCTTTATTATTATTTTTTTTTTTTTTTTTAGTTATAATCTCGATACTTATGCGGATTATTTGAAATTTCTGCATCAAGCTTAGCCTTGAAACTGTTAACTGATGAAGCGCATACAACTTCTGACGGCAATGCATTCCAATGATTCACTATTCGATTAGTAAAAAACTGGTGCCTTTGCTCACAATTTTTAACATATTCTCTAGTCATTTTTAGATGATGTCCTCTAGTTTTTATTTTATTTGACTGCCCAACACGAAGGACATGGGGTTCACTCCATGAGACAATGTCTATATTGTTAAAAATTTTATAGGCCTGTATCAGATCTCCCCTAATGCGACGGGTTTCTAAGGACGTTAAGTTCAGTGTATTCAGACGATCTTTGTATGACATATGACGGTACGAAGGTACTAAACGGGTAGCTCTTCTTTGTACTTTCTCGATTTTGTCAATATCTATTCTTGATGATGGATTGCTGGCTGCTACCGCAAATTCCAGATGAGGTCGTACAAAAGTTGTATATAGAATTTTAAGTAGTTGCGGAGTCATGTGACTGAAAGTACGATACAACATGCCTAATACACGGTTAGCTTTATTGGTGGCAAAAGTTGAATTGTTATGCCATTTTAAGTCTGGTGTAATCATGATGCCTAAATCACGTTCGACTAAAGTTGATGCAAGTTCGACACTGTTATTGTTATTAGCTGGCATTAAGTAGACATAAAAGTTGTTTTTTTTACCTATGTGCATGATTTTACATTTATCGAGATTAAGTTTCATTTTCCAGGTATTACACCAATCGGCTATGTTGTAGATATCAGTTTGAAGCATTTGTGAAGCTAATGGGTGGTCTAAACGGGCCAACAGTTTAGTGTCATCAGCATACATTTTACATGGATGGTTAACAATATCGGCTATATCGTTCACAAAAATGATAAAAAGTATTGGACCTAATACGGATCCTTAAGGGACGCCACTAAATACCTCAAGCCACGAGGAAACATAATCGCCCATCACGATTCGTTGAAAACGCTGGTGTAAAAACGATTTTATCCAATTCAGGAGATTTCCAGTAAAACCATATGCCTCAAGTTTATAAATTAGTCTCTTGTGGGGAACCATATCGAATGCTTTACTGAAATCTATAAAAGCTACGTCCATAGATATCTTGTCAGATAATGCTTTTGACATCATGTCAATCGACTCCAACAAATTAGTCACACAAGCTTTTTTATTGACAAAACCATGTTGATTTTTTGAAATAAGGCTATGTTCGACTAAATGATTGACCATAGTGTCACGTAATATTTTCTCCATCACTTTACATACAACTGATGTTAAGGATATAGGCCGGTAATTGCCTGGGTCGAGTCTACTTCCATTTTTAAACAGTGGTGTTACATTAGCTTTTTTCCATACTTTAGGACAACACCAACTATCTAGTGACTTCTAAAAAATTGCGCTTAAAGGTATTGAGAAGCTGTCAGGTCAGTTCTTCAGTACATATGCGCTTACACCATCCAAACCAACGGTTTTGTCAACTGATAAATTGCTCAGCTTGTTTTTAACCAGATCTAGCGTTATTTGCGAGTATTTGCAGATGGCTTCAGTTCGTTTTATAAAATATGGCAGTTCATCGTCTTCATTTTTGTTGAAAACACTTTGAAAGTGATTGTTCAGCCGATTTGCAATTTCTATTGGATTTGGGATAGTGTCGCCATTGATTCCTTTTAAGGCTGTTATTGTAGTTCTAACATTTTGTTTACTATTAACATACTTGAACAGGATCTTTGGGTTGTGCTTCGATTTTATCGCTAAATCAAGTTCAAACTCACAACGAGCTTTATATATGAGCTTCTTCAATTGAATATTACACGCTTTGTATTCGTTGACTAGTTTAAGATTTTTATATCCATTCGCTCTACATCGAAACCATAGTTTATTTTTAGCTTTTATTTTATTTTTGATGTCATCATTCATCCATTCACTTCTACGACGAATCCATTTTAAGTTAGTCACTGGGACATAATTTTTGCATGCAGCCTCGTAGTGGTTCAGGAAAATGTTATAACAGTCATCAGTATTGTGTCCATTGAATTCCATCTGCCAGTTGATATTGTTAAAATATTCGGATATCTTTACAAAGTTACTTTTATGATAAACGCGTTTTTCAATGTGTTTTCCTACAACTGCAGCGCTTTTAACAACGTAATCCCATTGAAGGACGTGGTGAGATTTCTTCAGAGACGTTAAAGGTGCATGGTGAATAATATCGAGGACCCGATTTTCATTTTCGGCTATAATTAGATCAAGAGTATTGTTCGATGTAATTTCATCAAGTTGAAAAGTGGGCTTAGTAACAAATTGTATCAAAAACGACTCGGCGAGGATGTCAATAAAATTACTTGAAAGGATATCTGTGTTGCTGACAGTTGGGATACTGCTCAAATCCCAGTTAATCCTTGGCAAATTAAAGTCTCCACAAATCAACAAGCCGCTGTATATTTTAGACAGAAGTTCATTCGCTTTAATAATGGACGCTTCAATATTCTCGAGTGGATATAGCGTGTGTGGCCTGTATATACAACCCAGAAGGATGTGTTCGGAACCGTACGATATTTCGCACCAAATTTGTTCAGGGGAATCTAATAAAACAATTTCGCTTACTTCATTAGGTTTTAATGAAGTGTCGACATAAATAGCCACCCCACCTCCTCTACTGGACACGCGATCTTTTCTGAATAACATATAGTTTTCAATGTTAGTTATCGATGATTCATGCCACCAAGTTTCTGTAACAAAGATTATTTTAGGGTTGTATGTCTCAATTGATGCTAGAAACTCTGGCATTTTATTGTTAAGAGATGTAGCATTGGTATAACAGCATGGTATTTTATGGAAAGCTGACTGTTGTAGTAGACAAATAGTTGAAAATGACTTTCGCTCTAAAGAAATTTCGTTTATATTTAAATTGTCATTATATGGTTTTAAATTACTTACTGTTGATTGCTATTTGTCTACTTTAACTACAGCATTATTACGAATAACGTAGTAATGACTTGTCTTTGCCCAGTTGTTTTTTAAATTAAGAGGCTCGTTTTTCTTTTTCAACTCGTCTCGTAATTGTCTATCTTGTCTTCTTTGTGCTTCTGTCAGATCTGGATTAACATAGATGCCTTCAAATTTACGCCGGGCTGCTTTAACAATATTATTTCTGGTGACAGTGTCTGTCGTCT